AGAGGAAGGTTGTATTTCTCATCATTGTTACATCGCACCCTGACTGGCTCATCTCCTCCCCGAGACCCCTCTGCAAGGGGATCTCCAGTGGCAAGTTCTCTAGCAAACTCTAAATGACTCAGTGCTTAAATAGACCAAGTAAACACTGTACTTTACAGTTGAAAAGTATATTCTGCTTTTCAAAGTGTGTATCTAGATATTCACTGTATTAGGCAGGGTTCTCTAGAGAAACAAAACCAGGACACTTATGATTTTATTTGTGTGTGTGTGTGTGTGTGTGTGTGTGTGTGTGTGTGTAATGGTTAATGAGTCCACATAGCAGTAAAGAGGGCTCAGTTCAACTCCCTTTCGTGAACCTTACTATGGCTGCTGGTCCAAGCTCATGGAAGCAGACAGCAGAGTCTGCCCTGAGGCAAGACAGGCAAAGTCAGCAGGGTTGGACAGCAACAGTCAGTCAGTAGCTTGGGAGCTTAGCGAAGCTGGCCCCAAGGGGTCTCATGATGTTTGCATAGCAGCAGGATCCACCAGCCTTGAGTTCAAGTGACATATGTACCAGCAGTGTGGCGAAAGCAGGTCTCAATGGAACCTCAGTGATGCTCAGCAAGGCAGCATGACCCACGAGTTGGTTCAACCTACAGTAGTGCAGCACATACAGTAGTGAGACAAAGAACTAGCTCAGGCAGCAGAGTGCTGGTCTGGTCACCAGGGAGAAAGAGAGAAGGGGGCAGGCCATGGAAAGCCATTTATCTCATCATCTTCCAATCAAGCTGTGATCTGATTAAACTCCACCCACAAGTTCTTATGGATGCCTCGTTGGCACAATAAACCTATCACCTTCACCAAAGCCTATTACATTCAAGTTGATCTCAACTCATAGCGTCTCTATTAGTCAGAATAGAACTTCCCCATTGGGTTTCCAAGGTGGAATATCTCTATGGAAACAGTACTATAACTTTCTTCAGGAGCAGTTGATGGGTTCCAACCAATGACTTCTTGGCTAGCCGGTGAGCACTTTAAACACTGTGCCACCAAACCCCTTAACTGCACATATTCCCACTTGTGATTTTAATAGTATTGCTATAAGATGAGTGGGGTTTTTGTTTTAGTTGTTTCCCTGTCCATTAGTCTCACTTTCTTTTTGTTAAAATTTATTATTAATTGGGAGTTGATACATGTATCATTCCATAGTTTGATCACGTCAAGCAGAAGTGCACAATTGCCACCACAGTCCGTTTCCCAACATTCTTTGTCTTCCTGGACTCCTGGACATCGTAGTCTTAATTTCCAAGTAACGAATTTAAGCGAGAGGAGGATAAAGCAAACTGTCTAAAGTCACACAACTGGCTGGGGGCAGAGAGAGGTGGGGACTCAAGTGCCCTGAGCTCATGCCGTAACCTTGTAGGACAGCATCATGCTGTTGTTTGTAACATACGTGACAGTGACTCTGCCTTCACTACCTGGTGCTTCAGTAACAAACCAACAAAAATAACACCCTAAATGGCTGGCTTCACTGAACATTCATTGCCTCACAGTTTGGAAGACCAGAGTGCAACGCGGGGCATTGGATCTAGCAGGGCACCCTTCTTTGCCTGTCCTTGGTGTTCCTTGGCGGACAGGTAGGTCCTCAGGTAGTCGTATGGCACCCTTCTGCTGTGTGTCTATGCCTATTCTGCACAGGTTACACGATGCCACTTGGGAGCAATCAGGTTTAGGATCACCCCATTCTGACCTCCTCGTTCACATCACAAAAGAAACTCCCCAGTTCCTGAATGGCTCATATTGACCAGTGTAGGGGTTAGGACTTTATCATAGTTTTGGGATGCAGAACAACACAGTTTTCCATCCATAAATGAATGAGCCAAGAAAAAAAATGCCAATTTAGACATTCTGGCAGTTTATTCTAGTAGCTCCCATAAACAGATTTACTACTTCCGCCATGTTCAATGGCACAGCCTTGGATTGGATTTCAGTAGCCTCTCCTGTAAGAAACCCCCTCTTCCCCCTCTGCTAAGTCTTCTATGTAGGCAATGTTGAAGTTTAACTTTTTATTGTGATTGAAGTGGGGGCTTATGTGTTTTTTTTGTTTGAATCATGAATTAGATGAATGTTAACATTTCAGATGATCATTTATGAATGCAGTGATTTAAACAACTTATCCTGACCTCTCAATAGCTTGGCTTGTGGCATTTCATCTTAAAAGGGACGAAAATGAGCCCCTGGGTTGGGTTGGGTTGGGTTTCGCTCTGCCGCTCCAGAGAGAGCATCAGAGAGGACCCCGCAAGCAGGCCTCCCGTTTTCTCAGGGTGGCTCCCAGTGTACTTGTCGACACTCTTGTCCCTTTCCTTCTTTGTCAGGAAGGAATCAGTGAGATTCTGAGCTATGTTTGAATCACTGGTGACCAGGAACAGAGCGAAAAGGTGCTTTTAAGAAATCAATTAAAAGATAACTTGGAAATCTAAGGAGATGCTTGCCAGATAAATCAGTAGACTTCCAAATTCCATCTCTCCTTCTGGAAAGCGTAGAACATTTTATCTATCTGCCCCGACGAGGGCTTCAAAATATTTGTGGGAAAACTCCATTATCTTTTCATTGCATTTTCCTGGAACTTTTTGAAGCCCCTTCATAGGTGGATGATATATTTTTAAAGCGGATTTTGTTTGTTGGTTGTCCTTTTCTGTAGGAACTTTAACAACCCCAGGGCTTGAATAAAGAGGAAGGGAATTTATTCCAGTATCTTTAAAACCGCATCCTCATGGTGGCCCCTTACTGCCCTGCAGTTGTGAGTAGAAGGCAGGGTAAAGGTTATATAGAGTATTTCTAAGCCACGGTGGCTTCCGTTTGAAGGTGATGTATGCTGGGTACTGACCCAAATGCAGAATCTCTGTTGGCGGCTGCAAGGATGACCTCATCCCGTCTCATGCTCCTGAGAGCCAGGCAGCCTGCTCGCCCCTGGAGACAGTCCATTTTCACATCTCACTCATCATTGAATGGAGGGGGGATGGATTTTGCCTACGGTAGGAGGCGGTTACATCAGATCTCCAGTGGCAGCTCAAAGCTCTCCTATTGTTGCAACTCAACAACGGTAACCTAGCATTGCCACAAGATCTCCCTGACTCTGTAAAGTGCACACCTTCGGGAGGGAGGGAGGGACGGGAGTGCTACGGCATCCAATCCAGAAAGGGGAATGTAAGGAAAGGCTGTCACCTTCGGCCTGCACGTTTGCTGGACTAACCGGCACAGCGATTGACCTCCTCTCAGATGCTAACAGAACATGTACTCCTGGGTTTTCATGTCACGAAGGGCCTTCTGGGATAGCAGTCACCCCTGCCGGAGAGAAGAGCACTGCAGGCAGCGCGGTGGGCTGCAGGAGTGGCCTTTGAGGCAAAGGTTCTTGAGGAAGGGAGGCTGGCTCTTTAACCCGTGTGCCGTCATGCGCTTTCCACAGTTTCTCATGCCCGTTCCCGTGTGCACGCAGGGGGTTCCAGGAAAGAGATCACGGAGCACTGGGAATGGCTGGAGCACAACCTGCTGCAGACGCTCTCCATCTTCGAGAACGAGAATGACATCACCACGTTCGTGAGAGGCAAAATACAGGTAGGGATTTCATGGAGGGACCACGCAGAAACATTAGAACCATAGAAGACACGCCCCTCGACCCTGTGAACGTGTTGCCTCGATGGCTGACTTCCTTGTGTGCTCCCTGTGCCGGGCATTTTCCCCTCACTGTTGCCGTGTGTTTTTCCTGTTGGGATCCCTGTGGCCGCTGAGTCGAGTCCGACTCCGGGAGGCCCAGCTGTTGGGAGAGGGCGGGCGTGCTCCCTCGAGTTTTCTGGGCTGTTGTCTTTACAGAAGCAGATTTCCCGGCCTTTCTTGCAAGGCACTGCAGGCTGGGTGGGGACTCCCAGCCTTTCCATTAGCGACGGAGAACACACGCGTGTGTGCCATTCGGAGAACTATCAGAGGGAGGATCGTTTCTTCCATGGCAATATTTGTGGTAATCAACTTATGTAGATTGAAAACTGATACCATATCTCAATGTAGTATCAGGTATAGTTCAATACAAGTACAGTACAAGTACAATCTTAATATAGTATCAAGTACAGTACAAGTATCAACACAGTAACGATGCTGTCCTGTGTAGGACTATTAGTAAGCCAATGAGCCAGGATGTCCCATGCACACATGACTCTAAAGCTCCAAACCAAGTCACCAAATCCTAGGAGGTCTTGGCTTGAAGCAGCCTTAGCAGCTCCTGCACGTGCTCGCGCCTCTCCTCCCTCTCTCGTGGTTGTAGAAACTTGTCGATCGCATAGCGGTGGCCAGTTCAATTACCGTTTATAGATGCACAGTTTATTGACGGCGCAGAGCAATCAGTGTGCACTTACCCTTAATCGATGTGCTTTTTTCATCACCACTGGCCCCTCTTTTCGGTTCTGTTTTCGGTTCTTAACATTCTCTAGGTTGAGTTTGCCAGGTCTTCTTCCCTTTTGCAGAAATTCAGATTGGGCATTCCTGGCTGGCAGACTGTATAAAGTTCGCTGTTGCTTCTCAGGATATCATTTCTGGAGGCACACAATACCCACAGCCTCTTCTCAGGGATGCAGATTTTGATAATCCGGTCATTCCTCCACTGTATAGTTCCTAATTTGCCTTGGCAAATAATAAACAGTTTACAATATTCTATAAGAAACACATTGTGGTGACACAAATATCCTGCCCCTCATCAAAATCCCACGCCCCACCCCCACCCCTTTAATTTAATATCCAGCTGTAATTTTTCCCAGAATCACTCTGTTGGTTTCTCCTACCCCACATTTCCCCCCTTGACCAGTTGGCACTCAGTATTGTACTATAAACTGTATAAACCGTTTAATTTACCTATCTCGTTATTGCTAGTATGAGCTCGTAGGTTCCCGTGTTTTCCTTGGTTTATGCGTTAATGATGGACTTCATTATTTCAGCGCTGCCTTATCCCAGATTCCGCTACAGGGAGCACTTACACACTCCATGTCCCTGTGGCTCGCTCCCAGTGTGGTTCTGGAGCACTTCATTCTCCTATCATAAGTAGTCCAGGCTCATCCTATGCTTGTCCCGCCCCCACTCTGAACATTACATAACATTTGCTTACAGTTCCCCCTCATTGCTTAACGTGCTTTTCTGAATACGTGAAACATTCACATTCTCCCCAACCTGCAGATTCCTCCCAAAGTGTGCCCCCTTTCTGCTTCCCTTCTTTCCTGTGTCTCTGACAGCTTGGGGGCAGACGGTCAGCTTCCGTCATTACCAGGTGGACATTTCCCGTGTTTCTTCTGTAAAGATGATCAGATAGATCGCCTCATATGTGTTTTCTTCTTAGTTCCCTTTAAGTCTGCCAGAAAGGCTTCATTTCACGTGTGCTTCTCGGCACGTTGTGCTTCTTACCCAATACCTCCTGGAAAACACTCAGTATTCGTCCATAGAGATCTCTGGCGTGCTCTTTGGTTGTTTGTGTCTAAGGCTACTTCTCTTAATTTTGTTTCTTATATTTGAAACAATTTTAGATTTAGAGAAGGTCGTACAAAGAATTCCCTCCATGTACCCCCGACTCAGCTTCCTTTAATATTGACATCTTAGATAAGCATGGTGCATTTAATAAAACTAAGAAGATAATATTCAAGTTACTAAAAACCCCAAAGCAAGTTTACGATTACTGAGCCCATTCCAGTTCATGGTTACCCCAAAGAACAGAGCATAAGTGTCCCTGTGGGTCTCTGAGGCTATAACTCTTTACAGGAGAAGAAAGCCTCATTTTTCTCCTTTGAAGTGGGTCGTGGTTTCGAACTGCTGACTTCTGGTTAGCAGCTTGATTCATAAGCCACTATGCCACCAGGGCTCTCCACTATTAACTCAGCTACTGGTAAACTGATTTGATACTTACGGGCTGTCTCCACTTGATGTCTTTTTTCTGTCTGTCATCCATGTTGCATGTAATACCTTACTATTTTACAGCTATATGTTATTAGACATTGAGGTAATTTCCAATATTTGGCCATTGCAGACAATGCAGCATATATGTTTTCATGTGTGTGTAAGTTTGTACTGGCTTTAGAGTACACTGCTTTAAGTGGTATTTCCTAAAAAAGTGTGAATGAATTCATGTGTGACATGGTTGGCGATTGCCAAATTCCTGTCCATAGGATTGTGCAGTTTTGCATCTCCACAATCTTGCCAGCAAAGTATATTGCCGGGTTTTAGAATCTTTGGGTAATAAATGAATAATATTTTAGTGTTTTAATTTGTATTTATCTTATTATGAATCAAGTTGAACATTTTGGGCTTTTTGATCTTATTTTTCTTTAATTTTTTGAAAATTCTTGTACTAAAGGTCTGTCGCCTTTCATGAATGACATGAGCATATGTGGAAATTATTTCTATGTTTTGTCATTTGCCTTTTGATTTTGCCTATGGTAATTTTTTACATACAAAGTTTAAAATTTTTATCTAATCTGAGTTTTGTTTTTTTTTTAATATTGTAACAACTAGGTTTTTAGTCAAAGTTAAAAAGCATATCTGTACTTTCAACTTTAGGAGGAACTTCAAGCCAGAATATGATATTTTGTTTCTCTTTAAGATTTCATAGAATGGTCCAATTTTATTGTCTTTCCTGCTTTTTACTAAACTTTTTACATAGACATGTAGTCATTTTATAGTCAGGGGAAAAATAGTTTAAATATATCAGGGAGCTTGAGAAAGCTTGTGGAGAGAATTCCACGATGTTTTCATTGCATTTTCCCATGAACATAGGGGCATCATTTGATTGTTACCCGCCGCTCCTGCCCAGTGGCCTTTCCATTTTCCACTCTAGGTGAGAGCCCCGCTGCAGGGGTTCTGGGGGCCAAGAGAATCTTGTTGCTGTTGATTGTCTGCTAGGATTACTTTCAGAGCCAACTACTAGTCTCCTAGTGGACAGTTCATATTCAGTCACTTGCATGTACTCAGGTTTTTATTCTTTGTTCATTCTTATACACCTTTTGAGATCCCTCTAAAGGAATTGCCAGGTGTCAAATATCATATAGGCTATAAATATATTGGCCAACAAAGATAGATGTTTTTTTCTCATCCCTCTTCCATTTTTACACTGGCTTCTTTCTTCCCCAACCAGCACGCTAGTACCCTCGCCCTGCCTGCCTCTAAGTCCCCTAAAGTGACCCTCTATCAAAACCTGTTACTCTCACTGCCATCAGGCAGATACCAACTTACAGTAACTCTGGAAGACTGGGTCAAACTGCCCCTGTGAGTTTCCAAGACTCTTTATCTGTTTACAGGAGTAGAAAGCCTCATTTTTCTCCCATGGAGTGGGGTTTTTTTGAACTTCAGGCCTTGTGAATCACACCCCAATCCATAACCACTAAGCTACCAACTGGACCAATAGGTAACTGCATGATAAATGGAGAAAAGATTTGAAGTTGTCGATGATTTCGTCTTGTTGGGATTCATAATCAATGCTCACGGAAGCAGCAGTCAAGAGATCAAATGATGCATTGCATTGGGTAAATCTGCTGCACAAGACCTCTCTAAGGTGTTGAAAAACAAGGATGTTACTTTAAGGAGCAAGGCGAGCCTGACCAAGCCATGTATGGATTTTCAGTTGGCTCATATGCATGTGAAAGTTGAACGTTGAATAATGAAGACTGATGAAGCATTCATGCATTTGAAGTATGGTACTAACGAAGACTTTTGGAAATACCATGGATTGCCAGAAAGAACAATCAAATCTGTCTTGGAAGAAGTACAACAAGAATGCTCCTTGGAGGCAAGGATGGCAAGACCTGGTCTCACTTACTTTCAACATGTTCTCAGGAGAGACCAGTCCCTGGAGAAGGACATCACGTTTGGTAAAGTGGAGGGGCAGCGAACAAGAGGAAGGCCCTGGACAAGATGGACGGACAGCGTGGCTGCAGCAATGGGTTCAAACCCAAGAACAGCTGCGAGGGCGGCGCAGGGCCTGGTGGTGTTTTGTCCTGAGTTGGAAGTGGCTCAGTGACACCTAACCAGCTCAAAGCCTGCTTACCCCTAAAGGGGCCTGGAACACGTCTGTTCTCGCAAGAGAAGTATCAGAAGTGGTGATCGGGAGACGATCTTAACTTCGTCTCACAGGACAGTATGTGACCACTTCTGTGGCCGACCAGCCTTCTCTCCTGTGTGGCCAAATAATAGGAGTCAGCAGCCTGGTCCTTACCTTCATAAAGGTTACTAACATAACATTTTAACTTGAAATGTAGAATTCTCCATCTCTGGATGACATAGTAAAGGCTGAAATCTATTCCCTTAAGATGTTTCCATTCCAAATTGGAAATATAACTTATGCTTATCTAATTGCAGTCTTTCACAAACTCACTCACCCGCTGCCATCAGGTCCCTCTGACTCACGGTGCCCCAGGGCTGAGTGGCAGTGTCCTCGTGGGTTTCTGAGACCGTCAGTCTTGATGGAAGTAGAAAGCCTCATCTTTCTCTCCCAGAGCAACTGGTGTTCCTGAACTGCTTACCTTGCGGTTAGGAGCCCAGCGTGTGACCCACTATACCACCAGGGCTTCATAATAGACACTGATGATAAAAAATAATATTCAAGATGCCATCACTCTCTTAGGAACTTGTGTTTAGTATCTCACTCACTGCCATGGACTCCATGCTGCCTCTTAGCGACCCCCTGGGGGTTTCCGAGACTAACTGTTTCTGGGAGTAGAAAGCCCAGTCTTTCTCCTGAGCAGCTGCTGGTGGCTTTGGACGGCCAACCATGTGGATTGCAGCCCAGCACATAACCCCTGCACCTGCAGAGAGATAGACAGAATTCTTTTTCAGTCACTATATAATGTAGGCGAATAGAGAGGTACGATGTTGGGTTGTTGTGGGCCATTGAGTGGATTCTGACTTAAAGCAGCTCCATGGGACAGAGTGGAACTGCCCCCTGGGGCTTTCCTGGCTGTAATCTCTATAGAAGCAGACGGCCAGGTCTTTGTCCTGCAGAGCCACTCCCTGCCCTATGGCCCGTTCTGACTCATAGTGACTCTGCTAGGCAGAGTAGAATGGTCCCAGTGGATTTCTGAGGCTGCAGATCTTTACAAGAGCCCAAAGCATCTTTCTTCCTTGGAGAGAAAAGGTGTAGATGGTGTAGGAGAGGCTTAGGGGCAATTTCTTGTTAGAAGAGTGCGTTGAAGACTTGCCTTGGTGTGGTGTTTGCATAGTGAGCCCACTCTTTGCTGTGGTGGTCATTGTTTATGTTTATATTTGCTTTTAACTAGAATTGAATGGAGATTGAGATTCTAGAAGACTAAACCTCACCAGTGCTGGCAAGAGGGCTAGAACATAAGTCAGTGAAAATTTAGGAAATAATCTCAGTCCAGGCACGGCACTGAGAATCGGCGGTCCTGACTGTGGGGAAGTCGCATCATCATTGGGAGAAGTTCACAGGCGGTGGGCATTGGACCAGACACGGGGCTTGGTCGGATTCATTTCACAGAACCGTCTGAACTTAGGCAAGCAGATAGGCAGGTTGCAGGTGGAACAGAAGAACCACCGGCAAGAAGGTCTAAAAACACTTGGATGACAAGCTTAGGCGAATTGGAACATATTCCACTAGTGGAGATTGCGGATGGGCTGTCATGGAGACCGTGGGTGATACAAATGACTAAGCGGTCAGCTAGTAACTGAAAGGTTGGTGACTCAGATCCCCCTATGGGTTCTTCAGAGGAGAGATCTGGGAATCTACTTCTAAAACTCCGCCATTGAAAATCCAGTGGAGCCTAATTCTACTTCAGCATGCATGGGATTGCCATGAGTCAGAATCGGCTCCATGCCAATGGTTTGTTTGTTTCTTTGTTCATTTGTTTTTCTAGTAGTTACTATGAGAGACCAGGTGATTGTTTAGGCTTAGTCCCAAAGGTGGCTCTTGAATTAAGGAAGCCTGTAGAAGAACCAATGTATTTAGATTGTGGTGCCAGAGAAGAATGTTGAAAGTACCTAGGATTGCTAAAACGACAAACCCACCTGTATTCGAAGAAGTAAGGCTGGAGTGCCCTTCAGAGGCAAGGATGGCGAGACATCGTCTTGTTTTGGACGTGCTGTCAGGAGAGACCAGTCCCTGGAGAAGGACAGCATGTCTGGTAAAGTGGAGGGGCGGTGGAAGAGAGGAAGGCCCTCAGGAGATGGGGGGACACAGTGGCCGCATCCGTGAGCTCAGGCAGAGGAACGACTCTGAGGATGGCGCAGGACCTGCAGTGTTCCCGTCTGTTGGACGTGGGGTCGCTGTGGGTCGGAGCTGACTCGATGGCACCCAACAACAACAACAACATGTATAGTATAGAATTTTTTTCTTCATGCTGGTGATAGTGAGGAACTAACTGAAGAAAATGATAATAAATGTGCTGTCAACAAAACAGTATGGCAGAAGATTAGTTTGTAGGGAGCATTACGGCTGTACTGGAAGCAAAAGACTAATGGAGAGGTTCCCAGACTTATCGGGCCTATTGCCCTCATTTCAGGAAAAATGTACTCAGCCACCACCCTGACAATTAGAAATGTTGGTTTTAAAGCCCATAATGCAGGATAAGGTAGAAGTATCTGCTTTTGAAGCCCCCAGCGGGGAGGTGGTATCACCCACTTTGGGACTCACTGATCTGAGGGCAGGAATTCCAGGTCTGAGGCAGTGTGATTTTCTGTGCTTAGGATACAGAAGGCTCGGTCAAGAAAAGGCTGTATCTTCCATGTCAGCGAGAATTGGAGAGGCTGCCCACATGCACACAGATCCGCCATGATATTTTCCACACCAGAGCCTAAGGCTTTCTTGATCTCAGCTCATGCCTTTCCAGTGCTGCCTTGAAATCAAAGATCATAAGATGCGTGTGGGGGTGGGGTTGTGATTACAAAATCAAAGATGTCATTTAAGAGGGAGCATTTTTTTCTCAACAGGTATCCAACCAGAGCAATTCTGACTCATGGATACCCTATAAGCTAGAGTAGAACTACCCCATTGGGCTTCTAAGTCTGTAAATCATCATGGGAACATATAGTCTAATCTTTAGCCTACCAAGTGGCTGGCGGATTTGAACCACTGACCTTGTGGTTGGCAGCCCAACGCATAACTCATCAGGGCTTCTTAAGAGATAAACGTGGAGGGGGGGAGGGGGGGAGCTTCAAAGAGTTCATGGAAGAAATTCAGCTATCTTTCAATTCTATTTTTCCATGAATTTTTAAGCCCCATTTGTATGTAAAAGCCAATTTTCAGAGAACTAAAGAAAAACTGGGTAGCAATAAAAGACCTCTCCTGTTGCAGTAGTGATGGGGTAGCAGGTTAAACCATTTACTTACTTGCTATGCAAATATTTCATTACCTTTCCAACCATGCAAAATATGTATGTCTAATATAATTTTTACACTCAATTAATTTTTTGCTTAAATGGCTGCTTGTGCCATTTCTCTGGATTCTTTGATACTAGCCATGACCTAAGACAAAAGACCTGAATCCAAGTGTCAATTAGAGTGAGTTAGTTAAAGTATGTTGTGCCAACCTGGCCAATAAACACATGTGGGGTTAATTGAAGAGCGGAGGGATAAATGGCTTGGTGAGCCTCAGCTTTCTAGTTCTTGGGTCTCTTGCTTTGTGATGGTCGGACCAGGGTACAGCTGCCTTAGCCAGTTCCCTGCTTCAGCTGGCAAGGCTCACTTCCTGCAAGACATCCCCGAGGAGAAGTTGCATGGACCTACCCCGATGCAGCCCTGGGTGCTGCAGCACCCATGTGGAGACCCCTGCCAGCGCTGAGATACTTACACGTTCACTGACTGGGCTTTCCTCCTGCAGTCGGCATCATTGTGTGTGTTTTGTGAGATGGAGGAGGACTTTGTGGATTGGTGTCAGACATATGAGCTAATGTTGGACTTGTGGGCTTGGGCAGCACTGGGTTGGGATGTTTTCTTGATGTGCATTTACCCTTTCTATAAAACTCTCTTATACATATGGGTTTCTGTGGATTTGTTTCTCTAGTGTACCCAGACTAACACATGGAGCCATGCACCCTGGTCTTCCTTCCCTCTCCTGTCCACTGTCAAGTTTGCTATTTGTGAAGGATTTGGGTTGGTTTTGAGTCAGGCAGGAAGTTGGCCTTTGGGTTAACATCTCCTCATTTGCTAAATAAAAACATCAGGCTTCCTTCCAAGTAAGCCTAATAAAATGAATAACACCAGTAAACAGATGATAAAATCTGCAATGCCGTTTGAAACCGTTCACTTCACAAATGCTCTTTGTGAAGGGGCTTTGCATTTTCAGCTAGGCTTTCTGCAGAATTCGTCCTTCGGTGTGCTGTTGTTACTGCTGCTTTCCCTTTGCGCCTCCGACGCGTGCTTTGCTTGCGGTGATTCCAGGTGGATGCTCTGGGCCTCCTCTCTCCACAGGGCATCATCGCGGAGTATAACAAAATCAACGACGTAAAGGAAGACGATGACACGGAGAAGTTTAAGGAAGCCATTGTGAAATTCCATCGGCTCTTTGGGATGCCGGAGGAGGAGAAACTCGTCAACTATTACTCTTGCAGTTACTGGAAGGGGAAGGTCCCCCGACAGGGCTGGATGTACCTCAGTATTAACCACCTGTGCTTCTATTCTTTCCTTATGGGAAGGGAAGGTAAGTTGAAAGTGGACTGAACTTTTCTCCGGGCACATAAACCATATGAAATGAACGAACTGAAACTAAGTGTTGCAAATGGGTCAAAGTTGTTTGTAAAAAGTGAATAGAATCATCTTTTATTTCAACATTTTTACAGAAATTAGCCATGAGGTAATAAAGATAACATAGAGGGTAGAAGTAATTTAGTAGAAAGAGACTCAAATCTATACTGTTTATGGACTTATCATTGATGCGGTCCCAAATTTCTCTGTCCACTCACGAACAGAACAACCACAAGTAAGGACTCACAAACAAAGGCGCTTAGCGGGATTGGGGTCTGGGAATGTGAGATAGTCGAATTTGAAAAAAATGATGAGTCGTGGAGTGTTTGACCTGCCTTGTTCCCTGCGCTCAGCCAAACTGGTCATCCGGTGGGTGGACATCACTCAGCTTGAGAAGAACGCCACCCTGCTTCTGCCTGATGTGATCAAAGTGAGCACGAGGTCCAGCGAGCACTTCTTCTCTGTGTTCCTCAACATCAACGAAACCTTCAAGCTGATGGAGCAGCTGGCCAACATCGCCATGCGGCAGCTCCTGGACAATGAGGGCTTTGAACAGGACAGATCCCTGCCCAAGCTGAAGAAGAAGTCCCCTAAGAAAGTCTCTGCTCTCAAACGGTGAGTCTTGGAAACATGGAGAGTTTCTTTAAGAAACAAAGCGGGCCGGTTTTAGGGGCCCATGAGCCACATAGCCTACAATTCAATAGCCCAGTCTTACCAAGAGGGGTTGTACAACCATTACCACAATCAACATTAGAACAGTTTCTTCTTTCCAGTTCTCCTTGTTCTCTGCCCCCCACTCCCCCCCAACCTCCCCTGCCAGACCCCACACACACACATCCCCCACAAGAAACTAGTAATGCAGTTCCTGACTTTCATATGCAGAAAAACCTTAGTTGAATAGAAAATATTTTAAAGCTAGAATCAATGTAAAATAGGTCAAAAGGGAGATCAAATGTTCAGGCGTTAAATTTTGATCGACCTCCATCTGCAGGAATCCACTTCCTAGTGCACTCTGCATGACAGCCGACCCCTCCCAGCCCTGGTCTGTGCTCAGACCAGCGGCTCCGTGTATTTTCCCTTTACTCTTTTTTTTTTTACTGAAGCAACTTTTAAATGGGTCAAAGGGGGATCAAATGATAAGTTATCACATTTTTAGCCTAACAACATCTACCATCATCAACTTTACAAGGCTCTCCATCTGATAACAAGCCTTGTAGACTTTCTAAACAAGACACCCACCCTCCTTGATTCGCTTTAACACATTGTGAACAGCTTCAAGTGTTCTGCACACTTTTCTGGCTGGAGGCATGAAACGGACTGACTGCTTCGGACACTCAGAGTTCTGTGAGTGAGACACGGTAGGATAGAAACTCGTTGGCCCTATGGCGTCGAGGAGCACATGGGCGGGTGGTTAGCTCTGCCCAGGTGGGTCTGAGGCTGTGAATCTCTGAGAGAGCAGACTGACCACCTTACCCTTCGCCTGCAGAGCAGCTGAGACCAGTAAACCTTATAGGATCCAGGAGGCTGCTCCTTCGAGTTTCCAAGGCTAAATCTTTAAGGGAACAGTTAGGCGCATCTTTCTGCTTTAGAGCAGCTGGTGGGTTTGCAGATAGTTAACGGCCCAACACTTCACCCACGGTGACAGCAAGGCTCCTGCCCCATCAGCTCCCCATGATCGATAGGATCGCTGAAGACAAATGGGTGCATAAGCAAATGTGGTGAAGAAAGCTGATGGCACCCAGCCATCAAAAGATACAGCGTCTGGGGAGGGGATAAATGAGGACCTAATGCCGGGGGCTTAAGTGGAGAGGAAATGTTTTGAGAATGATGAGGGCAAAGAATGTACAAATGCGTTTTACACAATTGATGTATGTATGGATTGTGATAAGAGTTGTATGAGCCCCTAATAAAATGATTTAAAAAAAAAAAGATACAGCGTCTGGGGTCCTAAAGGCTTGAAGGCAAGCAAGCGGCCATCCAGCTCAGAAGCAACAAAACCCACATGGAAGAAGCACACCAGCCTTTATTTGGTAATGACGATCAGTCTCGGGAAGCTGTGTGATTGTGGCAGGATGTTAATGACTCCACCTAAAGGTTCTCAGGGCAGCCCAGCTGTCGGATCTCAAAGCTAATCAGAGACCGTGGGACGACCTCCTTCCGAGAGGGGACCTGAAGCTGCCGCCATCCTGGGATGGGAGACAGCGATGGCTGTGGTCCTTCCTCTGGCCTGACCTGCTGGAGCTGGGGGCGTGCGGCCGGTTCAGTAAGGTGTTTTTTTGTATGAGATGAGTTATTATTATTGCTTTCTAGGGATCTTGACGCCCGGGCCAAGAGTGAGAGATACCGCGCGCTTTTCCGGCTGCCCAAAGACGAAAAATTAGATGGCCACACAGACTGTACCCTCTGGACCCCCTTTAACAAAATGCACATTCTGGGCCAGATGTTCGTGTCCACAAATTACATCTGTTTTACCAGCAAGGAGGAGAACTTGTGTAGCCTCATTATCCCGCTCCGGGAGGTAAGTGTCCGCTAAAGGTCTGCCCGCGAAATGTCCTTTGTGAGATTTCTCCATGTGAACCAGGAATCTCGTTTACCC